CCAAGCGGGGGGGCAGGGCCTCTCCCGACGGCCTATGGCGATCGGCGCATGCCCCGCCCCGTGCGGCGCGCACACCTCAGCGTCGCCGTTCGCTTGATGGGCAGCGCCGGTGTCCAATGAGAAGCTCCACGGCGGCGAGCAGCGGTGAAGGGGGGTGGGTCGCCATCTTGTCGGCGGAGGCCGTGGGCCCGGAGAGGGGAGCGGCGGAGAAGAGAGACCCGGGAGGAAGGAGTCCGCGTCTGTGGAGGGGGAAGGCTCCTGCTCCGTTTTTCTAACAGCCGTATTGTAGGGAAGAGGCATCCCGAGCGGTGTATGCTCACAGCAGCATTCTCTCCGTGCCCCCAGCAATGCATTCCTGAGAGTCCTAAAAATAAGCAGGAAATAAACTTCATACCCCCCGAGATCAAGTCTCCCAGGCCCTGGTCAGTCGTAAAAGAGCAAAAATGAAGCAGGGGGACTGCGTCAGTGCCCAGGAGCCGTGAGGGGGCTAGCTGTGCCACTGAGCATGGGGAAGGGCCCACCAGCTGCCCGCCAGACGGACAGACGGAGGCGTCGGGAGGACGAGGGAGTCGGCGGCAGAGCCATCCATGGCACCCACCGGGTGTGACACGGAGCCTTTGCCATGGGGCCCTGGTGAGGAGAGCTCACAGGAGGGCAGGCACACTGTGCTGAAATGCCTTCTGAGGACACAGCATGTTCACACGCCTCAGGCAGGCTGGGGTTATGGAAATTTAGACCATGTTGGAATATTAAATTAGGCAGAATATAGAGTCTGACAGGGATTTGAAATGTCAGAACACCAGCAAGCAAGAAATTACCTTAACTGTACTCTTAAAGAAGACTTACTTTATAGGACTCTGCATTCAGGCCCATAAAAATGCTAATAAACCCCAGCTGATTAAAATGCTGATGCCACACGTCCAATTAGTTGGTTACTCATGAATTAGCAATGTCTGCAAAGAACATGTTGGCCCTTGAAAGCTGAGCGCAAGCCCTGCCCTCGCCCTGCTGAGCGGTCAGCAAGAAGGATGCATTTGGGGAGAGCAGGGCTTCAGTTTCCAGGAGGAAACTTGGCAAAGTGTTGAACGCCGGCCCAGGCTCCTGGTGATGCCAGCTCTGTCCTCGGGGGCAGGAGCGAGCATGAAGCAGTCGCACCGCGGCTGTGGCGCCCATGGGCAGCCTTGTCCCGGGTCACAGCCAGCCCAGTGCCACGCAGCCTTTCTTTGCATGAGCAGTCCCCTTTATTTCTGTGCATAGCGTGTCTGAGCCCATGAATAAATCTCCAGCACTGGGGACTGTGCCCACTGGTCCAGCACATCACTGGTTATTAATTATTTCCCTACACAAAGCAAACGAGGGTGATGAGAGATGCAGTGGGACTATCAGGGCTGGACTGTTGAGGCCTGGCAGTGGTGAGGATGGATGAGAGGACACCCATGGAGGGGTCAGGCTTGCCCAGGTCTGCTGCCTCCCTGTGCAGAGCGGGATCGCAGGTCTGGCAGAGACGCAGGAGGAGGGCAGAGCTGCGGAGAGCAAGGTGGGAGCAGGCCTGCGACGGCTTTGGGGTGTCGGGCTGGACGTATCCGGCTCATTACCTGGCCGGGGGAGCAGTACCTTGCACATGGGCCACCTCCTGCCCTCAGCGACCCATCCAAAGGACCAATTCAAAGGCAACACCAGGATTCAGTGTGATGGTGAGTCTGGGTTTGGGTCAAAACACTGGAGCCACCACCACAAACCCTAACCTGGGGCATGCCCAGCCTGCTGTGGGTAGAAGGGGTGGCTCTAACTGCAAGTCTGGGACAGGCTGTCCCTCAGCCTCCAGCGAAAGCACAGAGCTGTCCAGAAACACTTTCTCGTGCTCTAATTTGGCAAATGTGATCTTGTGGTCACGCTGGATCCAGATCCAGCAGATCCGTGGTTTCCTGGCTGCAGGGTGATCAGGAGACATGGGATTTAAGCACAGCGGGGCCATAAGATTACAAAGACAATGTGCCATCAGGTGGCTGTTTCCCTCATGGCAGTCATCACAGCACGAAGAAGCAGCCCTTGAGACGTGGGGAGCTGCTGCTTTTCCTGACAAGGACTTCAGGGGTGAACCCTGACCCCCGTCAAAGGCTGCCACTTGCCCTGCAGACATTTTGGCAATTAAATCCATCTTGAAAAGAATGACTTCTTCTTTCCAAAGTTGAGGAGCGCCTTGATTGCTTCATTTGAAATGGGCCACCGCTCTCCAAGAAATGCAGACTCAGGCTTCCTTACAGCCGTGACCTGGAGATGGGATCAACGGCCTAGTGACTGTCACCAGAGTCCCCTGTGCACATGCCCTGCCCGAAGGGACAGAAGGGTCCTTGGGACATACAGGGAGAGAGGATGGAAAGGGTGGAGCAGCAGGTCGCATCCAAACCTCCTCTAAAGTAGGGAAGACCTGTTGACCACTGCCGCTCCCTCCTGGATTTGGGTAATTAGAGACATCCCCATCTTGCAGGCGGAGATGGGGGTGATGACAAGCGCCCAGAGCAGCCTGACTCGTCCTGCAGCTTCACACACCGCTCTGGGCCAGCAGCAGCTCTTCTGCCAGGAAGGAAACCAGGTCGATTTGGGAGCTGGATGGAACGTCACTGAACCTGCGTCAATCCCACCTCGTCTAGGAGGTAGAAAAACCTCAGATCCATCCTGAAACAATTTGCTGCATCCAAACCCAGCAGACTGCATCATTGCCCTGAGGCAGAGGTGCCCAAGAATCCAAACTATGTGGGCATGGGAGCAGTGCAGGGCATGTCCGAGCACGGAAGGGAGAGCCGAGAGACCCTGGGTGCAGGTACAGCCCAGGCACGCTGTCCCCCACTGTTTGAGTCCGGCTGTGTTCAGACACAAAGGCCTTGTGACTAAACAGCTGAACATCAGAGACCTCCCTGGCCCTGTCTGGGCTTTCACCCACCATCTGAACAACTCTCCAGATGCTGCATCCCTCTCCTCTGCGGCCAAGGGAAGCAAAGCTCAGTGCGTGGGCACGGGCAGGCTTGGCCGAGCAGCTTGGAAGGCCATGACCCACCCAAACTTCGGTTTGCCCAAATAATTTCCCTGTTCCTGCTGCCACCCACCCATGTGTGGGACAAGCGAAGGGACAGCAGGGAGAGGGATGGACTATGCCAGTTAAAACTGATTGTGAAATGATGGCAAAAGAGCAGAAGCACACAACGATGCCTTGCTGCAGGCTACAGTACCCCAACCTGATGTCACTGTAGGGACAGTCCCGTCCTGCCACCGTCCTTGCTCTGGCTGCAGCCAAAGTACAGCTACAGGGTGGGCAGAAACTGATTTGCTGATGCGATGGAAAGCATCTTCTCCTGCTTCTCTGCACACCAGGAGCTCTGAAGCCACGAACCCCTGCAGTGCCCTCAGCTCTGCAGGTGAGCTAGAGCAGGCTGTGTCTGGAGGCAAGCGAGCACCCCGCAGGCTACCACCACCCTGTCACAGAGCTCTGCGTGAGGAGCTGGGTCCTCAGGAGACCCGCACGGGAGCCAGTTGTGCTGGTTGCTGTGCTGCGTCAAGCCTTGCATCATGCTCTGTTGGGAACGTGGAGCTCTGACACCACACCAAGCCCCGGGGGAATCTGCAGGGCCGACTGATCCCTGACCACGGCCCAGCTGCAGCTCCGGCTTGTGTTCGCTCGTTCCCATGACTTGCCGTCAGTGGGATGACGTGTTCCTCATCCGTATTGTGAGCAGGTGGGAAAGAGTCTGCCCTTCCCCTGGCCCCCAGAGCCTCTCAGAAAGGCTCAGGCAGGGCTCTGGGAACATTATTAAAAATAACGTCGGGCCCTTTTCTCAGTGCTTATTTCCCGGCAGAGAGAGAAGGAACATATACATCATCACTCTTGCTACATGCAGGATCATCTATGACCTGCCTCCCCTGGTTCCCTCGCCAGCTAATTTAGGGTTGAATGTAGGTTAGCTAAAGCATGACAGAGCTTCCCAAGCACCACT